AAATTTACCGATTTGCCGAATGAACCAGTGGAACTTATGAACTGAAGCTCAAACGAGACTCTGACGGGCCATATCGAATTTCCCCGCCTCTTTGAGGCTCAAGTTCAAACGGCCATGCACGACAACTCGTTTATCCGGGTGCGGCATCGCTCGCCATCGGGGCATATTTCGATTGTCTTGACACATTCCCGCACTGGCCCTATTTGACACCTCTCCGAGGCTAATCTATTGAGCCCTTAGGCGAAAGAACTCCTAACCCGCTAGTCTATTGTGCAGATCTTAAATAGAATTCCGCTACTCGGCCAGGCATCGCTCCAAATGAATAGTAGAAGAGGAAGTTTCTGATTGCTAGGCTACCTTTCAACACTTAACGGGAACCCAGGGAACTTACCGCTTTGGCTGCAGCGACCGCTTTGTTCAAGTCGTTGACGTCTGCTTTCGGAACCTTACAAATCACTGACTCGTCATTAGGATTGATAGTGTCGTACAGTCTAAACTGACATACATTGTGGAGTATCTCTAGGCAGTTTACAACCAATGAAAAATACCTTCCACTTGCTGATTGCACGAACTTTCCATTAATGAACATTTCATGGGGGAACTTGAGTTCCATACCGTTTACGTTCATCACAATCTGGAAAACACGTCGTTGTAGGTTTGGCGAGGATCGAACCCGTGAGTGAACATACGTTGCAGCTGATCTTCAGCACTGCACTGCTCTCTAACTCACCGGGTCATATGTGACGGTAATGTTGTCGCCTCCACGAAGTTTCTTGATCACAGAGTCAACGCTTTCTCCGAATGTCGGGGCCATATAAACCTAAATCCCAGCAGATGCAGAAAAAGGCATTCTTCATTATTCTGGAATGCGCCATGCATTCATATGTCCCTATATGAGGGACGAAGACTCTAGAAACTGAAATAGCGGCCGTTCAAGCCAACATACAATGGTAAAAAGTAGTCGCAAACTCACGTCTGTGTTCTCAAGTTCGGCTTTTGTATGGAATTTGACTTCTTCGCAGAGACGAGTAACGTCGGCTGAACTTCCACCTGATTCGAAGAAGTCCGTCTCTTCTGACACCGGCTGCTTCAGGATCGATTCCCAGATTTTCTGCAACAAGCAATGAAATTATTTATTTCGCGGTCCATACTTGGGAGCTTTGAGCTTTTATTTCGATGAGAACTGACCTTGACAATCTCGACGATTTTCTTTTCTTCTTCTGTGTAAACCAGCTTCTCGCCTTGCTCTTCTTCCAAACCGTATTTATGGGCTGGCATCGTTTTCGATCCGACTTTGATCGTGTCAACAGTGACCTGAATCAGGTAACTTGGTCTTGACCACACCCTTTCTTCGCCTTATAAACGCCCGAGCTCGGTTGAGCACGGAGCTCTATATGGAGCCCTTCAGGGGGTTTTTCTGCTTTTTCTTCTTTTTGTGATATTTACCACATCGTTGTTGGTATTCACAACTAAACAACATAAACAACATGGGTGTACTCTAACCATAAGGGAATGGGTAGACGTGCAACTACTGACCACAGCCGGTGTTTCCGAGATTTCTCGAACTTACTTACCCAACGGCCATCGCTTCCTGGCAACAAGAGCCCAGCCTCGTGAACGTAGACCTTGCCACCGGGTATCTCGGAGACTTCCACTTCACGGGAGTCTGGTGGTGGAACTTTGCTACGCCACATTTTGCTTCCGAACATAGTGACTCTCTCGCCGTTCATTGTGGCCCATGCTCCTGGCACCTGCAATGAAATGAGTACTAATATGACTTTAACTATTCATTTGCCTACTACGAACGGCTGTGCTTCGCATATTTCCGCATTTTCTTATCTTTTTTTTCACCATCTCTACGACGCAACAGTAAGTTCATTTTGAATCGATCATATATTCTGTTTCCTGAGTCGGGAAAAGTACGCTGAAAAATTCGGAGCCCAAAAGATTCAAAAAAATTCAGCAAATGCTTCTCATAGATCCGCATTCAAGTGAACTCCAAATTCCTGAGATACACT